AGTATGTGGGATGGAGAAAGAATATAAATGACAGTGAACGCAGTTATGGGAGAATGCAAGAATTGAGAAAATGTGTGCAATTAGCAATAATTTAGGAAGAGAAAATGAAAATACTTGTTCACTACTCTCTATATGTGTGTCAAAGTTTATTCTCAATCACAATACTTATAAATTATACATGCTCTTTCTTTAACTTTTTTTCTAATTGCAATAGATATATTTGATAAGAATAAAACTTTTCATATGCAAAAAATGCATATTCCATCATTGTCCTTGATTATAAATGTAAACTTCTTTATAGATTGGATGATAGATAACAAATCAATAAATTTTTCAGCCATAATAACCGTAACTGACACATACAAATGTACTGTAAATCGTTATGCTCCTCGTTATAGTATTGAGTCAGAAGTGTGTTAACCGAATTGATCACCTTGGAAGAGCATAAATCGTTAATGGATAGCAATCCAGCAGAATCTCTGATTATATTAAAGTCAGGAAATCATTAGGGTAGTAATTAGATGAAAGGATGGCCTTATGGCTGATCCGGAGGGTGGAAAGGCGACCGATCTCGTCAGGCCCATCACGCTCCCGGTAGCGGTCTTACTCTCTTTCCTGGAAAAGCGAGAGGGTGAACCACTTGGCCGCGGAAGTGGCAAGTTTCGCCCGGCTCCGCCCCCGTCCCGAATTACGATACACCTAAGTTCGGAGATAAAGTGAGAGGGCGGCCCTAACTCTCCTGAATACCCAATCCTGAATGGTCTAACTAGCTTTACAGTCCCCTTTGTTAGCCCTAATCACGGCCGACCCCCCGAGGAAATGGACCGAGCTATCCTCTCCGTCTAGTCCTAGATTTGATACTAATAGCCGGCGACCTCCAGTTTCGATGGCCGATCTATAAACCGGCTTTGGAATCGTAATCCCACCCCCGCCCGCTTCACCACTATAACCGTTATTGCTCTAACCGTTGCCTCGAATTCCCATTAATAATACTCGGTTTCTAATTACACTTTGTTATAGACAGTTGCTACAATCTATTGCCCGTAGGAAGGGATACTCTCTTTGTAGCAGGAATTGTCTAGCTTCAAATAACACAAATAACACCTCTAACTTTCTTGATAATTGCTCTACAACTTCAAAATTATTAGATTTGCTCAGGAGCCTGTATCAAACGGATTCCGTCTGAGCTACTTGAACGCCACGATTCCCTTGACAAACACGATCCCAGGAATTCACGATTCCAATCGTGTTTCCATAATTACAATTACATAAAATATTGTAGCTAAAATTTAAAAAAATCTTTTGACAGATATAGCTTAAAGAAATTACAATAATCGAAGCATAAATACAAACAGAAAAGCGAACTGGCTTTAAGTCAAAACTTAGGTCACAATATAGACTTCCAACTTCCTACAGATTCACAATAAACTCCGCAAAATAAAAACCAATGATTTGGAATAGCGACCGACCAGAAAAGGAGAAAAGAAGTTGTTCTTGTCACGTTAAGTATCGGGCGTTGTAAAGCCCCAAATTGTAATCTAATAATTTCAAAGTGAACAATGAAATTTGTAATAAAAACAAATTGATAAAATACTAAACTTGCAATCAATTTTTTTACTGTACATCCTGATAGGCGTAACTAGAAACAGTAAAGACAACACGACAGAATTTTGAAAAATTGTAACCGATACAAAACTTATTAATATTATTTAATCAAAGATTAATTTTTTAATCTAAATGCGCGTAAGTTATGAAAATTAAGCTCTCATTGAACTAAATAAAATTAATTCACATGGACTTAACAAAGTCGTTCGTCTTACAATTATTTTCGAGAAATAGAAAAACATTATTCACTCTGTCTAAAAAACGGGTTTATTGGTAAAACAACCCTTTTTACAAAGTTTTTTTGACAAATCAACTTTTTTAGTCCACTAAAACAACCAGGCCGAATTATCCTATTAACAAATATGCGGCTGTATAAATATCATATTTGCACAATCAGGGTAGAAAGATGGTGTAATGTCGAACCTACTCTCACGCAACATGTTTGAATAGAAGAAAAAATAAAAAAACGTTTAATAATCAAAATAAATACAACCATCTGAATTCTAACCCATTGACCTCCTTATGGTTTTTACAATATCCATCATTCCCGGCTTAGAAGCCTCAAGTAACGATTCTTCATCCTAAGGATTCTAGGCGGCTTTTAATGTTGCTTCGTACATGTTTCTATGTTTAGATCGCGTGTCGGAACATAGCCGTGTAGGTCATTCTCATGTGCCATCCCGGGGTGCATCCACAAGGTTGAATCCACCACCTTTACAACCGACTAACCTATTGTGTAACGAATAACTTACACCACATTGGTAATCTATTTTAAATTTCAATAAAAACTATAAATTTTGCATGGGTTCCAATGAGAAGATAATCTGTCAAGAGGATTATTTTTTTTTGTATATATTTTTTACTCACACCAATAAAGTACGTGGAACATTGCATATTATAATTAATTAAGGTTTTTAATTGAGATAAAAAAGTCAATGGCACGAGCGGGATTCGAACCCACGATCTTCGGCTTGATACGCCGCTGCTCTACACTTGGGCTATCGTGATTTCGATCCACTCGGACACCAACTTCCTATCTCAACCCCACCTTTTGAGTTTTTCCTCCTTTTTGCCATTTTTCAAATGTCGTGTAATCGGATTGGATTCTCGGCGACAAATGAAATGGCCACGGAGAGCATTAGTGAAGTATACTTCATTTAAGTTAGTGTCCGAATGGATGAACTAAAAACCTTAATTTATAAAGTACAACCTTAAAAATAGTCTTATTAACAGATGACCAATGTCCACAATGTATAGATGAGGAAGAGACGACAGAACATATCCTTATACTAGAAAAAGAAAAACTTATTATACTAAAATTAAGTAGTATAGATAACTAATATTTATTTTTTGTTCCAATTAATTAAGGTTTTTAGTTGAGATAAAAAAGTCAGTGTCACGAGCGGGATTCGAACCCACGACCTTTGGCTAGATACGCCGCTGTTCTACCACCTGAACTATCGTGAGCTCGATCCACTCGGACATCAACTTCCCATCTCAACCCTACCTTTTTTGCCTTTTTTTTTAATCTCAACTAAAACCTTAATTAATTGTAATATATTAATTGGTCACGCGAACCACGAAATTAGAGAATTTAAGAATTGCATATTATATTAATATTAACTCGCCTCTCTCTATCTATCTATCTACTTTTCTTTCTATCTATCTATATATCGATTTATTTCTAACTTTATATCTATTTATCTTTTTTATCTCTATATCTCTCACTCTTGCGTTATCATCGTAAGTAAAGCTATTGTATTTAACTCAAAATGCGAACATTTTATATTTAAACAAAAATTTTGTTATCGTACTGAGTACCTTTCCGTTGTACCTTATTCAAACGAAACTGGTGGAGCCCCTAAGTTCTAGAACCAGCTGGCTTTCCGGTATTATCTGTTTTAATTAATTAGCCGCTTTGAGATTGTATCAACAGGCGGAACGCGACGGACCGAGGGGGCGAACTGATTATTTGACGTTTGCTCTCGGGAAACCGAATGAAACCGATTCAAAAGAAAACCGACGTTTTTATTTATAACATCAATTGAATGACACGCTTTTGAATTGACGGGCGAAGCAATTTTGTACCGTGGCACGGCGGCGTTTTCTCATTTATCCCAGTCGGGAATGAATGGCGAAAATATTATCCAACTTCTTCGTGGCCAACGGTGACAATCGGCGGAACTGAGGTCATCAGTTTCTATCGTACGGTGACAGTTTTAGTTGTTGAGCAATAATTGTAAAATTTAGGTTTACTGGTATAATTTCCCGGAAAAACCCGCCCACCACCTTAAATATAATTTTAACCTTTAATTTCGAAAGTCGAATTGTAACTTGATAAAGAATCGCAATTATAACCCTGATCGATCCCCCATCAACCCCAAAGCAGAAACAAATTAACCAAACATTATTAATTTTTTAATTAATAATATTATTAGTTTTTTAATTAATAATGGAAAAAAGATAATTTTTATAAAGCCGAATCTAGTCAATCCATGTTTTTAAAAAGAAAAGAAATCATATTAAAATAGAAAGTGCAGGAAAACGAGTCATTTGGCTTTTTTGATGAATTATGCTAAAGTGCAAAGTGAGAAAAATTGTGAATTCTGAAAAGTAAAAAATAATGTGAAAAGAAATCTATAGAGAAACACTAAAAAATTTTAGTGTTTAATTGCTGATCATAAATTGTCATCGGATATGATGTCGCTCGTAATTTAACTCTGCTAATGGCACAGGATATATTTGTTGAGTCTCCTAATGTTAAAAAGATATAGCGTGCGTGGCAGAATTTCTCAAGAACAGGCACGTGGTCTATCCTAAAAAATCGAACAGTACGAAATCAATAATTATCCCCTCCGTGTGGACCCAAACTTCTATCGAAACCCGAAAGACTTTTAAGGAGAGGAGCTTGGGGTGGGGCAAACTAGAAAGTACGTGGTTTCTCCTTGATGAAAACCTGGTTTTGTCTTTAATACGAACCGGCTGCGCCTTGTGTATATAGCAGGTTAAACCGGAGTCTATGTACTTAAACCACCTTCCGGAAGACTCTACAAGTAATATCCGTTTTCCTCTCTGGGGGTCTCTAATGAACTCCCGGGGGTGAGTTCGTTAATATTCGATTTTTTCGTTGTTGTCGGCACACGACTGTCATCGATTTATCCGGGGTGAAGAAGGGAAAACTGAGGAGAGGGAATCTGTTTCCGCTCCACCACGCCAACTCCACCGTTTGCAATATGCACGAGGATGATGGCGAGAGATCCACGGAACAAATCATGAAACAAGTAAAAAGCGCGTACGCCGAATGGGATCAAATTGCATTCATTATGCATCGCCGGGTGCAGGGAGGGACGACGACGAGAACGTGCGGTGATTAAGTAATATCAGTTTGTACTCACTTTTGGATGCGCTCGCCTGGGAAATGCTACTTTTGGATCAATCTGAAAAAGAAAACAAAAAATTATGAAAAAAAGATAAACAATAAACTTAGAACATTTGTTGACGATTGTAAACAATCCTTTGTATTTGAATCAATGAAATGTCGTAACACTTCAAAGTTTATGTTGATCAAATAATTTTATTTTCAAAAAATGTAAATATAAAAATGTACTTGCAAATTTACCTATTAATCCTGTGAAATTAGAAATTTAAATAATCGACATTATCTTTTTTTACCTATTAACACATATATAAATGTAAGATCGATACTGTTTTTACTATGAAAAATCAAACTGCTTTATCATCATAAATGTTTATTGGACTCTCAAACAAAAATATAATTGCTTGGGTGTCTTTCTTGATTTTTCATAATTGCTCTTTTATATTAAGATCTTATCTGACGGCTCGATTTGGCCGAGCCTGTCAGAGAACAGAATTCTCTCCTTACATACGCATTAGAGGTGTTCCTCAGGGAAGCATACTGGGCCCATTTCTGTTTTCAATATACACTCAGATATTACACATGTTAACGCATTGTGTCTTAATTTCAACGCATACATTCGCGATGCTTCGTAATTCGGACCCCTCAATTAGCACTCAAAACTTACCTGAATGAATTAACAGTATGGTTCAGTATTTTTTTTTTCTGACCTTACTTTATGCATTGGCCAAAGAAATAATTATATGAAACCCCATGAGGCGGAGACGACCAAAGGGGCCAGGAGGATTTGGCCTAAGCGGCCCAAGCCAACGCAGCGGGGACTGGAGGGCTTTATAAAAATCAAGCGTCCCGACAATGACCCCCCACTCGCCCCCTGATCATAACCTCCTCACACAACCTAGCCTAATCCTCCGATTTAAATTTCAATGCTACATGATACCAGAAAATCAAATATATGAGTATATATATCTATATCATTAGTACCAATTAATGTGTCCAAGTTGAAAGGCCGTTCGACACTTTTACACCCAACAATATTCCATAATAAGTCAGCTCTCTGAACTTCGTACTCGTTGCAGATCAAAATTATGTGTTTGAGATCCTCGATCTCATCGCATGTAGCACAATTAGGGGTGGGTCTTAAATTTATTTTGTACAAATATGCTCCACATATACCGTGCCCTGTCCTAAGGCGAGATATAGTGGAGTAGAACGCTTTACTCTTACCCCCGACTGCAAACCAGGGTTGCTTTTGAATGTTGGAAAATATAGCTCGATAATGTTTCCCAGCTTCCGGAGAATTGTACAAAACTTGCCATTTTTCTGAACATATTTTTTTAACGTTATTTTTAAGATCTCCTTTAGTATAGCACATGTCAAGAGTAGTGCCACTTTCGGTAGCAGCCTTGGCCAGCTTATCCACTGTCTCATTGTGGCAAACCCCCGAATGCCCTTTGACTATGGTTCAGTATGGTTGGTTTGAGAATAAAGATACACCTAACGAAAGAGTACAGATAAAATTTACCTTACTTAAAAATATCTGTCCTGCAGCGAGTATAAACGGAATCCTATTGCCTACCACAGACCTTGTGCGATATCTTGGACTTATGGTTAACGATATCATGGTTAAACGACCGACTTCGAATCAAGACTAAAAAGATAGCAAACAAACCGACGTTATAAATTATTAAAAATACTACTTGACTCACGATCAAAATTAGAAATGATTAGACCTCTCTGGGCGTAGGGTTGTGAAGTACGGGGCTCAACCAACTATTTCAATTCCCAACGTCTCCAATCAATTCAATCTAGAATTCACCGCCAAATTAGAAATGCTCCTGTTTAGTTTCAAATTGCACTATTCATACCGACTTACACATCCCGTTTGTACAGGAAATCAACAAAACCCGCTCCAAAAAATTGCATCTATCACTGTACACACATGATAGATAAATTAAACGACATTTATCAATTTCCAACCCTACATGAAAATCTCCAAAACGATTGAAGCTAATGTGGCCCTGAGTGAAGATTAAAAAGATTTCCGTGTGCCACAGGGCAACTTCTCCTACAAGAGACTCAAATGACAAATTCACATTATATGAACATATGTACTTAATACAATATTCGTAGCTGTAAATATAAAATAAATTAAATTAAAAAAACTTTGTCATCAAAAATGTTTAATTGAAATACATCAGTTTTCAAAAAAAAAATCTTTAAGTTATCAAAGGAATTAAAATTTATAAACATCAACATTTCTGTCTGTCTCTCTCTCACTCTCTCTCTCTCTCTCTCTCTCTCTCTCTTTCTCCCTCTCCCTCTGTTTTTCTCTCTCGATTTATCGTCTCTTACCTTTATTTGAATACCAAATTCAAAAGATTTACATTTTTGTTCGATGAATTTAAATTGCCATTGAAATTTGTCGAAAAACGTCTAATTAAATTTTTGTAAAGGTACCAAAGATTATAAAATGGTGACGCCTTCTCTGTTACATAGTATATATTTATCATTTTTTGGTTGGGATATTTGAATTAGTGGCGAGTCGACAGACCCAAAAAGCTGAATTGTCGTCTGTAACCAATTCTACTAACATTCCTTAGCCAATCACATTTTTTTTCGTTTTGTTAAAAGATACAAATACAGTCCTAGACAAGGTTTTTTTAGCAAGTTTCATGTGTAGCCCTTAATTTTTGTTTTACCGTTCTGAGAATTTTTTCCGTTATTAATATTAGATACAACGTGCATTCCTCAATTTCGTTTTCTTCATTTCCCCACCGAGTTATATTGGACGGCGTTCTATTACATCAAAGGGCGAATAAGGAATTAGATAGCGATGTTCCCCTCGTTTTCAATCAATTTTTTATTACAGGGACTAATAGAGAGAGCCATGCCATTAAAGAAAGTGAAAGTAAGTTTAGGATATTCTCTTTGTACCTTACTAAATTGAAATGACGCTTTGTGATTTTTTAAGTTCAGTCTTCTTGACCATAATGGCAAAGTGTTGTGCCTTTTTCCGGCTTTCCGCAAATTAAAATTGCCAGCGTGGCAATATCTCTAAATATTTAATAGTCGGGGCTGTTGTAAATTTTTAGGCCATTTGTAAATCTGCTTGAAGGTAATAACTTTTTTTTGGTATTTTCTTTTTGCCAACGAAGTGGTGACGGGTAAGAAAAACAAACGGAAACCGCTGACGGCTTTCATCAGTCTTGACCGCAAATTCCTGATGCCCGCCCCCGCCTCGGCCCGGGACCGTTTCTCCAAACCCTTTGAAGTCGGGAGACGAGGCCGGCCGAGGAAATGGAGGGCAAATTGAATTTCTTACAAAAGATAGCTCGACGCCGCTGAACAGTTTCAAATCAATTCGGTTACGACATTAAATTCAACTCGTCGTCTTCTGAGCGAAATGCGTGGGGGTGGGCCAAATAAGAAATAAGTCGGGACGAGGGAGGCAAAAAAAAAGTATTGCACGGAAATATTCAATTCTTTATCATTTCAATTTACTCAGAATTCTCATTTTTACGGTTTCTTTAGGGTTAAATCTTTCTTTAACGGAACCTACTCAAGAAAAATCACCTCACGCTATTCAAAAAAATCCAATCAGTCCCTGTAACATCGATTTTCAATATTATTGCCAAACCCTGGGAATTTAAAGAGGATTTCGTTTTAACGCAATGTACATCATTAATGTAAATACGTAAAAAGCGTGTAAAATATAAAAGATATGTCTGCCTTATATGCCTCTTTATTTGTCACCTTGATATTTTATGGTAATACATCATTTACCTAGCTTTGAATCTAAATTATCCTGAATAAGCTCAATAGCAATAACTATTTATATATAAATAGTTTGTTTTTTACTTCATTTACCTTCATCTACAACTGTATTTGTACTATATACAACTACCAGTTTGGATTTCAATTCGTGATTGTAACAATCCGGGAGATATAGATAAAGCTACTCAATGGCTACCGCTCTGGATGAATATGATATTAATTCATTTAAGAGGTCTCTTATTCACAGTCTTTTCAATCGCCTATGTGATGATATAAGGTGGTGTAATTTGTTTTGAATGATGAAAAAACATGGCTTGCAAAGATCTCTGAGAAGTGTTTTTTTTTTTTTTTTGACTGGGGCTTACGACATCTAAGTCATTTCAGCCCCCAACTAAGTCTATATTCTACTTACCCTTTCAAACGCTACATTCATACACATAAATACATCCATACAGTACTTGATATTCCTCCACCGACCTATACTCAAACTAATCTAGATTGGGGTCGATGGAGTACTTTTATAAATATTCCGCCATCGATCCCGAACACACACTCATACGCTCTAAACGTTCGAGGGGCGATGATGACGTTATATTTCGCCCTCACCCCTCGCCATTCACGCTAATAAATACATGCACTAAGACAAAACATATAGACATACAACACATAAGACATATTATATAAAATTAAAAAAAAAAAAAATTTCCCCTAAAGAGCGGAACAGGGGACCCAGAAACTCGCTGCAGTGCTCGAGAATCATTTTCAGATTGGATGGCATGCCTTCACACTCCCTGTAGGGAGCCAAGGCATGACACGTTTCCAGAACGTAGGACACATCGAGCAACCTTTCTCTGCATTAGGAGCACCTGCGCGGGCTTTGGCCCCAGAGCAGGTAACTGTGAGATTGTTCACATAAGACGGGGCTGGAACAATTATTCGTAAAATTATTGATTAAAAACAATAATATATTAAAGTCGTGAGAAGCGGTAAGATGATATTTCGAGCAAAAAAACTTCCGTTTTAATGGTAGGTATACTTGGACTTTGATATAGATAACTTAGGATTAGAGTAATAATAAGGGCCAGGATGTTTTGATATCGGTACATGACTACAGACATGAGTGAGCGTTTAAAACCAACACAAGATTGGCCATGTACGATAAACATGTATTTTAGGATAAATTGGACCCATAGAAATTTTTAAAAAAAGTGGAGATACGAAAATGATTTCCAAAAGAAGACGTTTCAATGATTTACTTTTACCTTTTTTATTAAAGGTTATTAA